GTAGGAGTCGTAGTAGTTATAGCAGTCATCGTAGTCGTAGTAGTAGTAGTAGTCGTCGTCGTCGTAGTAGTTGTTGTTGTTGTTGTTGTTGCTGTTGCTGTTGCTGTTGCTGTTGTTGTTGTCGGCGTCGTAGTAATCGTAAGAATACCAGCAATAGCATCAGTAGCAGCAGCAGCAGCAGCAGCAGCAGTACCCGCAGCAGCACTGTACGGCTATTGCTACTGCTGCTGCTGCTGTGCTGCATTACTACTACTAATCACTAGTAGTTGTGCTCAAAGCTTTGCAATCGAGACAGGGTTCTACAGTGATCCGCTTCGGAGCTGTCAGAAGTCTTTTGGCTGCATGCTCAAAATCGTTTTCCCGATATGACACCATGTGGCCAGCTTGTAGCTTTGCAGTAGGACCCGCAGGAGCAGACCACCTGAGAAAAGACTTGCCGCCGAATCGTAGGAATGTCAGCGCAGCACAGGTCTTCGCGCGATTGGATCTGGGGGCAGCTTTGCCAGGAGCTGCCGTTGTGTTGCCTTGAAGGTTCAACTTAAGTGTGGGCTCCCATGACGAGCGCTGATCTCTCAGGCCGCGGATGCTGCGAAATGCGCTGCGCCCTGCCGCTTGGTGCCCCCCTAGACATCATGGCCTTTCGCTCCGGCGAGGCTTGGAGTCCCACTTACCGATTCTGTGTATGCGCCTGCGTGCGATGCTGGGAGGCTGCAGTGATGACCTGGCGCCTCACGGTCACTGAAGCCTCCAAGTCACCGAAGAAGAAGCGGAAATCCTTGGAGAGCTCCCCGACCTCCAAGAAAGCACGCAGGGAAGAGGCACTGCCCTTGCCCCTCCCGCCAAAGATGGCCTTCGTGGAGCAGGCGGGTTTTGTTGGACAGTGGGACGTTTAGCCAGACCCAGTTGCTTTCGCAGTTGAGGCCTCCGCGACGCTACCGCAGCAGCATGCGGTTATCGACGCCACCTTCCGGACTCGAAGTGACGGCGCGCAGGCGCCTCAGGCATGGACGTTCGCACAAGATTTAATTGAACTGTGATTCTCCATGGGTTTAACACCGGAATTTGTTTTAATTTCATCTGAAGCATAAAGAGGCATGGAGGGTGTTTCCTTCTATGACGACCAAGAGCTTGAAAACCTCCGTGTACTGATTTGACAGATAGCAGCTCTTTGTACTGCTGCTAGTAAGCGAAAGATGCCCTTGCTATGTTTGTTTTGCTTCTCATCGAGGGAGATCTCTTATCTCTTATGGTGTGAAGAGAAGAGGAGGCAGTTCCCAATAGTAGGTTTTTGAAGATGAAGAGGAATGAAGATGCCATCTTTGTTATTGATATAACATTGCTCATTGTTCAGAAGCGGAGGCTGTCTGGTGTTTTCTTTAGATGAGAGATGCTGGCTCCCCTGCACTATCCAGAAGCAACCGGAAGGCACGCAACTTTGGGACATGGACAGAAGATAGCGGGAGATGTATATACATTGGGGTAGTCATGGTAATGTTAACACTAGATGTGTGATTCCTGCGTCGAAATGCTCGAAATCTATGTTTTGGGGAGCAAAAGGTGTGGCGTGACTGATGCATTGAATATTGACAGAAAGAATAAAGGAGTACGTACCAGTAAGGAACACTTCATCAATGACTCCATTGTAAAAGGTTACTATGGCGTGTGAACCGAGCGGCGATGAAAGCTGCCGAAAGCTGAAACTAAGTAGGCCGTTTTCTTTGGGTCGTAGGCCTGTAGCAGTAGCAGCGGCCCTCAGCTCCCTCTACTGTCCCATGACCCGGCAAGACTCTTTCGACTTTGATGCCAGCAGTGACACCCCACCCCCACACCGGTTCTGGCCACGCCCGAACTCTTCAGAGCCCCTTGCGAAAGTGAGGCGAAAGTCTCACGACAGTCTTGCGAAAGTCGTACGAACGCCATACGAAAGTCTGACGAAAGCCGTGCCAAAGCCCTACAAAAGCCCGATCAGAGTCATATCAAAGTCATACGACAGTCCTACGAACTTTAGAAAGCCTTAGAAGTATTCTGTAAGGCATCCGTTTAATACCGTATATGAATGCCAAACCAAACGGTCTCGAGCTTTGTAGAGTTCGTAGGACTTTCGTAGGACTTTCGTTGGACTTTCGTCAGACATTCGTAGGACTTTCGTAGGGCTTTTGTAGGACTTTCGTAAGACTTTCGTAAGACTTTCGCATGATTTTCGTAAGATTTTGTAAGACCGTCGTACGACTTCCGTAAGGGTCGAAAAAGAGTCTCAAAGCATTCGCAGACACCGGCCTCCCCGAAAAGTAGGGCCCCCTCCCCCCGCAAAACCGGGGCTTGGAGTCCGGGACCGTCCCGGAGCCGCTACAAAAGTGAAGCTTTCTAGTCGGCTGGAACAATGTATAGTACGCACAGACAATGTTTCCGCTTACCAAAGAACTGCAGTTTTGCAAAGGCTCCGAACCCATATTTCCTGACCCGAGATTTTGCCACGATCTTTGCCGCTTCATCCTGCCTCATAAAACCTCTAGTGTTAACATTACCCCGCCTACTACCATGTATACACATACCTGTGTATATGTACATGCATATGCACATATATATATATATATACAATTCATATAGACATACAGCCAAACCGTACTAGTCTGGAGTGACAAGAATCGAAACTGGCAGTCTGTAGAACTTTCGCACGAGTGAATAATGCTAGCAACAACCATGCTGATCACGGAAGCAGTACTGACAGAGAATGAGGTCTTCCATCCTTTGCTGGACCTCGACACAAGAGCTCTGGGACATTGACCCAGCCGGTGCGGATGTGTCCATGGAGAAAGACAATGTCGCGACCCAGCCGGAAGAGGAGCCCAGAATTCTAGACGAGGGTACGGTGAATAATTTCACTATCATTCACAATATGGTTCTTGTTTCTGCTAATATTTTTCTCATACTATGTTACAGACTATGTTTATGTTAGTGTGAATACTATGTGTGCCCGCAGCCAGGCCAATATCACGAGGTTTATTCAACTTCGGAGATACCAACCTCGACGACAGACTTCACGTAACAGCCTCCACATTTAGCCAACCAATGTCTGCTTGAATCAACCCTTCCCCACCCATCCCCGCGGCTAACACATAAGTTGCAAAAATTTGTTCCGTCCAGCACTCTGTGCGGGAGTAAGCCCGCGGTTCGGGGGATAGATTGGATACCCCGGTTTTCCGGAGTCTGGCATTCTCACATGTTGTATGAGTGTAGGTGTGTGTGTGTGTGTGTGTGTTCGGTTTTTACATACATATCTATATATATATATAGATTTATGCATATATATATAATTCTTTTATTTATTTATTTGTTCACACAGACGTAAAATGGAAAGTACATCATTTGTTCGTGTGTACATAGTTATATGTATAGCCGGTTAACAAGTTGTCAGCTGAATACCGAAAATTCACAGAACAATCCTGTCAGTTCTTTCGCAGGAGCCCCTTCCACGCAACGCAGGCCGGAATTTCTGAGAGCGGGTGCTGAATCAGGCTGTTCTCCTCCCAGATGGCTAAGACGTCTATGAAGCTGAAGATGATGTTGGTGCATTGATGCTCGCTGTGCTACGGAAAGAGTTAGAATTGCCGTCCATTCGCGATATGTTGCTGGCCACGTTTTTCGATCATGCCGGAAGATCCCGTACACAGTCCACAGTACTATACTCGCACCATCTCGCACCACAACCACGCAAGTGGCGGACTCGACAATTTGCCTGGGGCAGTCGGCCACAGGCATGTCTCCCGATTTACGCTACATTTCAGAATAGATTCAGGGCTTCCAAATTTGCGGGGACTGCTGAAACTGAAATGCGGTTGCAACAGGTCCGCTGGCAAGTATTACTTCAGGTCGCGCTGCAGCCCAGGCCCAAGCGAAGCAGGTGATCTTGGGATGCAGGGGCTTACGTTCGGCGAGGTTGCAGGGTGTTGGCTCTTCTGTGTTGGTGGTTCAAGCTTGATTTTCTTCGGTTTTTGAAGGTTTAGGGTTTAGGGTACTCAGGACACTTTACCCCACAGTTCCCTCTAGTGGCTACAGGACGACGGTTCGGCAGCGGCAGGCAATGAGACGCCACAAACGACGCCAAACCCAGGCACAGAAGATTTCCAAACCCACACTAGAAGCAACCTGCAGCCTCCCGAGCATCTCAAGATGTGGCCCGTAATCACCGATGATTAGTGAAAGGTGAACCGAAGACCGGCCCCAGGTGGAAGCGTCTCGCCCCGGCTTCGTCCTTCCGCGTGGCCCTTGGAGACCGGAGCTTTCCCACGGTTTTGTTACCCTTTTGGCTTCCGCCTTGTCTTCAGAATGTAGGGTTTAGGGTTTAGGGTTTAGGGTTCAGAATGTCTGTAGATTGGTTGTTTTCGAGGTGCTCATCCTTGGTCATGGAGCAGTGCTTTTCTTCGCATTGCAGGGCTGCTAACCGGAGCGGGTTCATGGTGCCGTGTACAACCATCACGCAGCTGAACCATATTCGTCTTAACCTACACGTGCGGACAACACTGTGGTATGAGTAACCAAATGACGAACACCACTTCGAAGCTGACATCCATAGCGAAGCCGGTAGCGGCCTCAACAAAGCAACGATGCCAGTACTAATAACTACAGCGTGAGTGATAGTGCCTTCTCATAATTCTCCAGTCTAGTCGTTCATCGGTAACATGGAGGAACATTTACTACCAATTAATATCCTCTTATAGCCCCATCATAAGTGTAATGGCATAATGTTCCCCAAAGCCTTGGTTTAATTATCAAGGCCCCTATCTTGCTGTCTGTCTTGCAACTGTCCTGCGTTCTGGCCCAGGAGACGCACTACTGCGGCTCAACAGGCCGAACCGAAGCCTATTTGCTTTCGAGAGTTTGGGGTTTGGGGTTCTGGAGTTCAGGGCTTGGACTTAGGTTGAGGATTTATGGTTTAAAAAGGAGCTAAGGGGATGCTAAGGGCCCTGGCAAGCGAGGCCGAATCCTGAGTTGAACCGAGGCTGTTTCATGTTTCGTTCGTGCGAGAGTCTGAAGCTCCCTTCGAAAAGCAATGTATACAACTAACATCCGAGTCATGGCGAGTTTCACCACGGCTGTTTGTTCTATCTGGTTTTGCACGGCTGCATCTTCTTGTGCATGATGTGTGTGTGTGTATATATATATATATATATGTATTGCTCGTTTGCTACTGTTGGCCGTGTTTCTTGATCTCAGCTTTGAGGCTGCCGTTAATTTTGCTGCCATTTCGCCCTTACGGATACTGATTGTCATTGCTGCGCTTCTTCATGCGGCTCTTTGCATGCACGTGTTGACATGTCAATGTGTATAGGTTGGTGTGTATGAAGTGTACAGACGAGCATGCAAATACGTATATGGTAATCGACATACGCTCATAGCATATACATATATGTATGTATATAGATGTGTGTGTGTGTGTACATGCATATCTGTATGTATATATGTACATATGTATATATATATACATATACGGAAGCAAAATATACATTTAAAACTGTGTGGCTTCGTCTGCAAAAAGTGGGCAGAATATACAGAACCACTTACATACATGCATACATACATACGTATGT